CCACACCCCAGCCCCTCACTGGGGGATTCTAGGCAGGGGCTCTCCCACTGAGCCACACCCCAGCCCCTCACTGGGGGATTCTAGGCAGGGGCTCTACCTCTGAGCCACACCCCAGCCCCTCACCGGGGGATTCTAGGCAGGGGCACTCTGTTGAAAGAGTCGCCAGCACTTCCCTCTCAGATTTTAGTCAGGTCTCTACTGCCACGCTGAACCCCATCCCAGGTGCGATACTTGTTCAGCTGGTTTCCGTGTGCTGGTGGTTGACTCGGTAGATATGGACCTATAGAATGGGAGGGAGAATGAAAAGTCCTGCAGATAGGAGTAAGGCTGACTCCCTTGAACTAGCCCCTCTGTCCCCACTCCATTTCTCTTCCTGTGGCTTCTGCAGGCAGGCAAGACCTGGACTCCTAGAGGCTGCACCCAGAGCTGTACCTGCATGGGAGGGGCTGTTCAGTGCCGACATTTCCAGTGTCCCTCAGAGACTTACTGCAAGGACAATAGTGACGGCACCAGTGACTGTGTTAAAATAAGTAAGAGAGCCGTGGGGAAGGTGGCGAGGGTGTGTGTGCTCATGACTGGACGAGTCTGAGGCAGGACAAGAAGGAGCTTAGTCCCCACTTAAGAGGTCATCGATAGGAGGGTCCACGTAGGAATTCTGGGATTCAGTAGGAAGGATTCTGGAGACACAGGTTGTGGCTGAGTCCCTTCTCAGGGTTAGTCTCCCACACTGAGTTAAAAGAAACCATTCTTTCCATCTGTCCTCTGTGTTGAACACACAGCCCATCCTCAGTGAATATTTGCTAAATGAACACTAAGAAGAAGGAAGAAAGCCCCAAACTCTGTTGTTCTTCTGCCTAGTTTGGTATTTACAGCCTCTCCTTCCTTTTGCCCTCTCCTCTAACCCCACTCTCCTTCTGTCCCCCAGCTCTGCAGTGCCCGGCCCACAGCCTCTACACCGACTGCCTGCCCTCCTGCCAGCCTTCCTGCTCCGACCCAGATGCCCACTGTGAGGGCACCAGTCCTAAAGTCCCTTCTACCTGCAAGGAGGGCTGCGTCTGCCAACCGGGCTATGTGCTGAGTAATGACAAGTGTGTGCTCAAAACTGAATGTGACTGCAAAGACACCCAGGGTCCTCTCATTCCAGTGAGTGAACTGGGAAATCATGGTGGAGGGGGAGATAGCTGGGAGACTCAACTGATGTAAAATCTGTAGACAGTGAGGGCAAATGTAAGTACCCCAGACAGGAAGTGAGGCCATCTCCTGAGAACTAGAGGCCAGAAGCCGTGGTTAAGAGCACATGCCACTCTACCAAGAAGATTGGAATTTGGATCCTGTAACTCCAGCTTCAAGGGATTGATGTGTCTTCTGGCCATCATGGACAATCATATGCATGTACTCACATGGACACACACACACACACACACACACACAACTAAAAAAGAAGCCATCCTTGAACTTTACTTCCATTTCCTGTGGCTTCTGCAGGCAGGCAAGACCTGGATCACCAGAGGCTGCACCCAGAGCTGTACCTGCACAGGAGGCGTCATCCACTGCCAGAATTTCCGGTGTCCCCAAGGGACCTACTGCAAGGACAACAATGATGGCAGCAGTCACTGTGCTAAAATAAGTAAGGCCCTGGGGAGTGTGGAGAGGATGGGCTCCTAATTGGAGGAGGCAGAGGCAGGGCAACAAAGGAGCTTCTTCCTCCCCTGAGCCCAGAGGCGGGATGTCAATCTTACAACAGTGGGGGTGGGTGCTGGGGGCTGCAGCAGACCCCTCTCAGTGGGTGATCTCCCACTGGCCTGGCTGTGCTGCTTCTTAGTTCTCCTCTCAGGACTTGCCACAAGGGCCATGCTCAGTAAATGTTTTTAGAATGAATAATGAAAGCACAGAGGGGGGGCCCAAATCTCCTTAGTCACTGTGCCTAGCCTGGTTTCTATAGCCTTTGCTTTGGGGCCCCTCTTGTCTCCTCTAACCCTACTCTCTCTGCACCCCCAGCTCTGCAGTGCCCAGACCACAGCCACTTCACTGACTGCCTTCCCTCCTGCCCACCTTCCTGTGCCGATCTGGATGCCCACTGTGAGCACACCAGTCCCAAAGTCCCCTCTACGTGCAAGGAGGGCTGCCTCTGTCAACCTGGCTACTTCCTGAACAATGACAAGTGTGTGCTCCGAATTCACTGTGACTGCAAAGATGTCCATGGTAGCCTCATTCCGGTGAGTGGGTGTGGGAGGTGGGATTGGGGCAGCTGGGAAGAGGGCTCAGTGAATCAGGTCCAAGTGTGGGGACCTGAGCTTAAATCCCATATAAGCATGTTAAGATGGGAGTAGAATCCCCAGAAACTTGCAAGCTAGCCAGCCAAATATTTACTGTGAAGACCAATGGCAACAATAAAACCCGAGAGTTGAGATATCCTGTCTCAATCTAAAGTAGAGAAAGTGAGACCCAACACCTGAGCCTGTTCTGACTGCCTCTCCTGTACACACACACACACACACACACACACACACACACACACAGAGAGAGAGAGAGAGAGAGAGAGAGAGAGAGAGAGAGAGAGAGAGAGAGAGAACATACATATAAATACTAAAAGATTAATTTTTAAAAAGTAGAGGGCCAGAGACATGGCTGGGTAAAGACGCTTGCCTTCAAGCCTGAACACCTGAGTTCAATCACCAGGACCTACATGGTGAAAGGCAAGAACCGACTCACACAAGTTGTCCTCTGACCTCCACATGTGTACTTGTCTCTGGCTGGCTCTTGAGTTTGAAAGTTGGTCAGGGCCTGGCACTTGCTGGGCAAATGCTCTACCACTGAGCCATGCAACTGGCCTGTCAGTGAAGATTGTATGCAAGTGAGCTGTGTACCTGGGCTGTGCTCAGAGGCCCCTTTTGAGCATTCTAGGCCTGCACTCTGTCACGGAGCCTCTTGTGCTGCTTTTCACAGGGGATCCTAGGCAGGTGCTCTACACTGAGCCACACCCCAGCCCCTCACTGGGGGATTCTAGGCAGGGGCTCTACCACTGAGCCACACCCCAGCCCCTCACTGGGGGATTCTAGGCAGGTGCTCTACCACTGAGCTAACCCAGTTGTCCTAGCTATAATTCTTGTTTCAATATTTTCTACCTCTGGTTGGTTGATTCAGTAGATGTGAAACCTGTAGACAGGGCAAGTGCATATACTTCAGACAGAAGGTCAGTCTGTCTCCCTAGGACAAGCTCTTCCACCTTCACTTCCTCTTCCTATGACTTCTGCAGGCAGGCAAGACCTGGATCTCCAAGGGCTGTACCCAGGACTGTGCCTGCACAGGAGGAGATGTCCAGTGCCAGAATTTCCAGTGTCCCTCAGGGACCTTCTGCAAGGACAGTAGTGATGGCAACAGTCACTGTGTCAAAATCAGTAAGGGGGCCACGGGGGAGGTGGGGAGGGTGTGCTCATGGCAGGAGGGACCAGAGGCAGGGCAAGGCCGAGCTTAGTCCTCTGGCCTTGGAGGTTGGGGATAGGGGTGCCCAGTGAAGAGAGTCTGGACCCAATGCCTATAGCACAAGTCTCATTGGTTAGCCTCCCATGCTGACTTGGGAGAGCCACTGTTTTTAGTCTCCCACGCTGAACTGGGAAAAAAGTACTCTTAACCTTCTTTCCCCAGACTTGGCACACAGCCCAATGCTCAGTAAAAGTTTACTGAATGAATAACAACAACAACAAAAATTAGAGCCAGGCGGTAGTGGCACATGCCTTTAATCCCAGCACTTGGGAAGCAGAGGCAGGAGGATCTCTGTGAGTTCGAGGCCAGCCTGGTCTACAGAGCGAGATCCAGGACAGGCTCCAAAACTATACAGAGAAACCCTGTCTTGGAAAAACAAATTAGACCCAAAGAGCTATTGCTTGTTTTGCCAAGCCTGGTTTCTATAACATGTGCTCCCTTGGGTCCCCTCCCTGACTCCACCCTCTCTACCCCCAGCTCTGCAGTGCCCGGCTCACAGCCATTTCACCAGCTGCCTTCCCTCCTGCCCACCTTCCTGCTCTGTTCTGGATGGCCACTGTGAGGAAAACAGCTCCAAAGTTCCCGCAACCTGTAGGGAGGGCTGCCTCTGTCAGCCTGGCTACTTGTTGAATAATGACAAGTGTGTGCTCCGAATCCAGTGTAGCTGCAAAGACGCCCACGGTGGCCTCATTCCCGTGAGTGGGTGTGGAACAAGGAGGGACTGGTGGGTGGCTGAGGAGATGGCTCACTGGGTAAAATGTTTGCCTTGCAAGTGTGAGGGCCTGAGGAATCTCCGGAACCTATGTAAGCTGGGTATGGTAGCTTCTAGCTTCTACTGGGAGAAAGGAGAACCTAGAAACTTGTAGGCTAGCTACTCTTGTGATTGCACAGGGACAGGGAGCCTCGCAATGCAAGGCAGAAGGTGAGGACTACCATCCCAGGCTGTATTCTGACCTTCACACATACATGCACAAATCTCCCACACACATGAACATACATGAAAACGCACAAAGATTTAAAATAAAAGTAGAATGAACTTTTTCCCTCTGCTCTTGTTGACCTGGGATGTGCCTGTATTTTTGTTTGTTTTGTTTTTGTTTTTTTAATTTGAGACAGGGTCTCTCTATATAGCCCTGACTGTCCTGGAACTTACATGGACAGACTGGACAGGTCTCGAACTCACAGAGATCTGCTCGACTCTGTCTCCTGAGTGCTAGGAGTGAAAGTGTTCACCACCACGTGGATGCACCTGTCTTTAGAGCTGACCATTGAGTGGGAAGGATGGGAATGGCCTGGCACAGGACAGATAAGTACTCTATCACTGAGAATTCTAGGCAGGCTGTCCATAACTGAGTCATACCTCCAACTCCTAACTACAGGATTCCAGGCAGGTGTTATGCCTCTAAGATGTGCACACATCATCCCCTAATGCAATTATTTTTTCAAATATTTTTCACCGTCGTTTGTTGACTCAATAGATGTGGAACCTGCAGACAGTGAGGGCAGACCTATGTACCCTGGAGCAGTGAGACTGTCTCCTTAGAACTCAGCCCTTCCTCTCTTTCTTTCTCTTCCCGTGACTCTTGCAGGCAGGCAAGACCTGGATCACCAAAGGCTGCACGGAGAGCTGTAACTGCATGGGAGGGACCATCCAGTGCAGGACTTTCCAGTGTTCCCCAGGGACCTACTGCAAGGACAGCAGTGACGGCAGCAGTCACTGTGTCAAAATCAGTAAGGGGCCATGGGTGTGCTCATGGCTGGAGGGGGGAGAGGCAGGGCAAAATGGAGCTTGGTCCCCTGGGCCTCAGAGGTTGGTTACTAGGTACCACAATGGGGTGGAGTCTGAGGACCTTTGGCTCTGCTGAGACCTTTCTCAGAGCAGGTCTCCCATGATTAGTCTTCCCCATCTAGTTGGGAGATTCATTCTTCTTGCTTTTCAAAGGGCTTGACACACACCCCATGCTCAGGAAATATTTTCAAAATTAATAACAATAGGGAAAAATCCTGAAGCTCTGGGGGTCATTTCTCTGCTTCCTTGAACCCCATCCCGTAACCACAGTCTCCCTCCACTCCGTAGCTCTGCAGTGTCCTGCCCACAGCCGCTACACAAACTGCCTTCCCCCATGTCTACCTTCCTGTACCGATCCGGATGCCCACTGTGAGGGCACCAGCCCCCAAGTCCCCTCCACCTGCAAGGAGGGCTGCCTCTGCCAACCTGGCTACGTGGTGAATAACGACAAGTGTGTGCTCCAAATCCACTGTGGCTGCAAAGATGCCCAGGGTGCTCTTGTTCCGGTTAGTGAGTGTGGCAATGGGATTGGGAATGCTAGCTCAATGGGTCAGTTGCTTTCTTGTGCAAGTGTGAGGACCTGAGTTTGAATCTCCACAACTCACTATAGATGGGCACAGTTACCTGTGTCTGCAATTCCATCACTCTACCGAACAATGGTGGGCAGAGACAGGAACATCCCCAGAAACCAATAGCTGAAATTGTTCTCTGACCTGTGATCATGTGGGCCAGCACTCACACACATGAATACACACACACACACACACACACACACACACACACACACACAGTACAATCTTTAAAAAGATTTATTTTTATTTGATTGTGCAAGTGACTACATGTATTCACTTGGGAACCTGGTACCCACAGAGGTCAAAAGAAGGCATTGGATCACCCTGGAATTAGAATTACAGGAGTAATAAGGTGCCATGTGGGTTCTGGGAATTGAATCTGGGTCCTCTACAAGGCAGCAAGTGCTCTTAACAGCTAAGCCATCTCTGGAGCCGTATAAAACATTTTTTTAAAAAGTTGGATTGTGGGCTATTTTCCTTTCATCTATTTCCTTCTGGAATGCTCCTGTCTGTATGTCTGGCCCTTGAGTTTGAAGGTTTGTCAGGTTCTGGCACAGGCTAGGCAAGTGCTCTACCATTAAGCCACACCTCCAGTCCATCAGTGGAGATTCTACCACTGAGCCACACCCACAAACTCCTCATTAAAGATTCTAGGCAGGTGCTCTACCACTGAGCCACACCCCAGCCCCTCACTGGGGGATTCTAGGCAGG